GTTCATTGGTTCTTTTGTTTTTAAGGTACTCATTATGCACAGAGCATTTATATATATATAGATTATTATAATTATTATTGGTGGAGTTCAGAATGCTCTTTGATTGTAGGTGAACTATAAATCGCAGCAACTACAATTCCCAAATGAGAAACTCAATTTTTTGAGTAATGGTCACTCCTTGGGTTAGTAGGTGTCTTGTGTCCAAATTTGGTGCCAATTTGTCCAGTGGTTTTTGAGTTACATTAATCCCTCAAATGAACATTACATTCTTATTTATATAGACTAGCCGTCCCCTACCCCGCGTTGCTGTGGCCCATATGGGGGTTCTGTGTGGGAGGTTTGGCCCAATTCTATTGTTGGTGGGGTCCAGAATGCTCTGTGATTGTAGGTGAACTATAAATCCCAGCAACTACAACTCCCAAATGTCAAGCTATATTTCCCCCAAACTCCACCACTGTTCATATTTGGGCATATTGAGTATTTGTGTCAATATTTTGTTCAAATCCATCAGATCCATCATTGTTTGAGCCCACAGTGCTCTCTAGAGGTTGGTGAACTATAACTCCCAAACTCAAAGCCAATACCCACCAAACCCTTCCAGTATTTTCTGTTGGAAATACTGTTGTTTGTGGGGTTCAGAATGCCCTTTGATTGTAGGTGAACTATAAATCCCAGTAACTACATCTCCCAAATGCCAAAGTCTATTTTCCCCAAACTCTATCTGTGTTCATATTTGGGCATATGGAATATTTGTGCCGAGTTTGGTCCAGATCCATCCACAGCGCTCTCTGGATGTAAATGAACTACAATTGGCAAAATCAAGGTCAATGCCCACCAAACTCTTCTGTTGTTTTCTGTTGGTCATGGGAGTCCTGTGTGCCAAGTTTGGTTCAGTTCCATCATTGGTGAGGTTCAGCGTGCTCTTTGATTGTAGGTGAACTATAAATCCCAGCAACTACGACTCCCAAATGGCAAAATCATTTTTTTTTTAGTGAAGGACATACATTGGGTTGTTAGGCGTCTTGTGTCCAAATTTGATGCCAATTCGGCCAGTGGTTTTTGAGTTCTGTTAATCCCACAAACGAACATTACATTTTTATTTATATAGATACTCGTCCTCCCCTGCCACACCTTGCTGTGCCCCCCTCTGGTGGTCATGGGGGTTCTGTGTGGGAGGTTTGGCCTAATTCCATCATTGGTGGAGTTCAGAGTGCTCTTTGATTGTAGGTGAACTATAAATCCCAGCAACTACAACTCCCAAATGACAAACTCAAATTTTTTGAGTGAAGGACATACATTGGTTTGTTAGGTGTCTTGTGTCCAAATTTGATGTCAATTTGTCCAGTGGTTTTTGAGTTATGTTAATCCCACAAACTAACATTACATTTTATTTATATAGATACCAAATTACTAACATGAGTGTTGTCCTTCCTTCACAGGTGAACCTTGACCATGAAACCAGAGAGGCAACTAGGAGGAATGTTATGTTTGCCACTTCCGATTGCTTCGAAGAAGCCCAAGTCAAAACTCACACCTTGATGGAGAAGGACTCTTATCCACGGTTTCTGAAATCTGCGTACTACAGAGAACTGACAGAGCAAGCGATGAGCCACAGAACGGGCAAACCTGTGCACACTTGAGCCCACCTTGCAGTCGTTGCTTAAGACTGTGCTGGGGGAGGGAGAGCGACCTGGGAGAAGGAAGGAGGAGAGATAGGAGCTGTAGTAGGAGATGGGATGAGCTTCCATGTACCCAGAAGCTCTCCTGAAGGGCAGCCCTTGCACTTCAGAAGAGAGAGTTGGTGTGGATGAAAAGTGCCGGAGAATGTAGTCCAAGGATGGCTTTGCTCTTGAGGCAGAAGGAAAAAGAAAAAGGAAGATGATGCTTGAAGAACAACAAATGAGACGTTTGAATTACCCTCCAAAACTGTTTGCCATCTGCTGTTGAATGTTCTGTGTTGTGAACCCATGAACACACATCACTCAAAGTCTCTGTCAGCTCTCAAAACCCTGCATCAACATGGACCACAAACTGTACATAGCACACGTGGTTCCCATCCTGTGCATACCAACCTCAGAAGCCTGCCACAGTTCTCTGCATGTTTTTGCACTGCTGGTTGGAGGCTCCAGGGCTCGGCATCATAGCAACACCGGTGCTGCATTGCGTTTGCACCCAGAGGAATGCTGCATTTGCTTAACTCCAACAGTGTTCATAGATCGTTGTCTTCTGCCATGCCAGGCAAGCTTTCTTCCAGTGACATCCATGGAAGGCACATGGACTTGATGTATTGTACCTCTCCAAATATTATATGCAACCTTGGGTAATGCACCCTGTTTTTAATTATTTATATTTGTATTTATTCAAAGAAATGTATTTATTGTTCTATTTATTTAGGTAGGACATTGTAGGAGCACAGCACTTTAGAATCAGGTGCTACAAACTCATTGCAGTGAGGAGTCTAAAGTTGGAACTGAACTAGTGGACAGATTTGCCACACTTATATAATATGTTAAAAATACGGCCCACCAAGAGAGTCACCGGGTTAAATCTGCTTTGCAAAGGTAGCTGCATAAAGTTTGTTAGCCCACAACAATTTCTGCTATCTCAATTGCATATCTTTGTCAATAATTATTTCATAGAATCGTAGAGTTGGAAGAGACCTCATGGGCCATCCAGTCCAACCCCCTGCCAAAAAGCAGGAAAATTGCATTCAAAGCACCCCCGACAGATGGCCATCCAGTTTCTGTTTAAAAACTTCCAAAGAATGAGCCTCCACACTCCAGGGCAGAGAGTTGCAATATTGCATTCAAATCACCCCTGACAGATGGCCATCCGGCCTCTGTTTAAAAGCTTCCAAAAAAGGAGCCTCCACCACATTCTGGGGCAGAGAGTTCCACTGCTGAACAGCTCTCACAGTATAGAAGTTCTTCCTAATGTTCAGATGGAATCTCCTTTCTTGTAGTTTGAAGCCATTGTTCCATGTCCTAGTCTCCAAGGAAGCAGAAAACAAGTTCCAATCCAAACCCTGTCAAGAAGCAGGAAAATTGCATTCAAAGCACCCCCAACAGATGGCCATCCGGCCTCTTTAAAAGCTTCCAAAGAAGGAGCCTCCACCACATTCCGGGGCAGAGAGTTCCAATGCTGAACGGCTCTCACAGGAAGTTCTTCCTAATTTTCAGGTGGAATCTTCTTTCTTGTAGTTTGAAGCCATTGTTCCGTGTCCTAGTCTCCAGGGCAGCAGAAAACAAGCTTGCTCCCTCCTCCCTATGACTTCCTCTCACATATTTAGACATGGCTATCATGTAAGCAAACACTATTTTGCCCGCCCCCCCAACCAATCACTGATATATATTTTCTGTTTGTCATGGGAGTTCTATGTGACATATTTGGTTCAATTCCATCATTGGTGGAGTTCAGAATGCTCTTTGATTGTAGGTGAACTATACATCCCGGTAACTACAACTCGCATATGTCAAGGTCTATTTTCCCTCAAGAGCGCCCCTGGGCAAAATCAACTATACTGCAAATGCTTACTTTGCGTAATGGGTTGAGCCGCCCCTGCCCATGTGGGCTGCACTTGAGCGAATACTCTGTCCGTACTCTGCACAAAGTGAATGTTTACTTTGAAATTCCAGTTCATTCCCTGATTTTATTTCACATGTTTGGACTTCTGGTCAACTTTGGATTTAAGAGCTTGTGTAGACAATAGGCATGTGCGATCCATGGTTCTAAAGTACTTACAAAACTAAAGTTCTGGTTGTGAAAACTAGGGGGCGCTGGTGCTTTGCTTCTACACTGTTGCTAATGTTCTGGTGGTGAAAATTTCCGAACTCTAACAAAACTTTCAAAATTTCATTATAAATGGCAGTTCTTAATAGGATCTGTCATAAAAACCACCAATAATGAAATAATAATGACATTTTGAAAGTTTTGTTAGAGTTTTCATCAAAATTTCATTATTATTTCATTATTGGTGGTTTTTATGACAGAACGTATTAGGAACTACCATCTATATAAATAAAAATGTAATGTTCGTTTGTGGGATTAACAGAACTCAAAAACCACTGGGGGAATTAACACCAAATTTGGACACAAGACACCTAACAACCCAATATATGTCCTTCACTCAAAAAAAATTGATTTTGTCATTTGGGAGTTGTACAATCAAAGAGCATTCTGAACCTCACCAATGATGTAATTGAACCAAACGTGGCACACAGTTCTCCCATGACCAACAGAAAATACTGGAAGGGTTTAGTGGGCAGTGTCCTTTGGTTTTGGAGTTGTAGCTCACCTACATCCAGAGAGCACTGTGGACTCAAACAATGATGGATCTGGAGCAAACTCTACACGAATACTCAATATGCCCAAATGTGAACACTGGTGGAGTCTGGGGAAAATAGAATCTTGACATTTGGAAGTTGTAGTTGCTAGGATTTATAGTTCACCTACAATCGAAAAGCATTCTGAACCCCACTAACGTTAGAATTCGGCCAAACCTCCCACACAGAACCCCCATGTGGGCCACGGCAACATGTGGCAGGGGACAGCTAGTTTATAATGAAATTTTGAAAGTTGTATTAGTGTTCTGAAAGTTTCACCACCAGAACTTTAGCAAAACTGTAGAAGCAAAACACCAGCACCCCTTAGTTTTCACCACCAGTACTTTAGTTTTGTAAGTACTTTAGAACCATTTAGAATCATGGATTGCACATGCCTAGTAGACAATCCCTAAGGTGGAGGAACAGGCCCACAGGAGCCTCTTCCTGCAAGCATCTGTCTGTCTATACTGCCATTAATTTTGTAATATACTCCAAGCAGGCTTGTTGGGGGCCAATAGGGGTAACTATTGATGGAAAAACTGAGCCCTGAGTGGATTATTGCAATCAGATCTTACATCCTGTCTCCTTCATTTGCTTGGCTGCAGAGCAGAGTATATGCTCACAGCATAAACCCATTTAGAATTGTTAATATGATTTAAGTATCCAAAGTGGCTGGGAAACTGTAAACGCACAACTACTGAGCAATTTACTGTGCAATTTAAAACTCTGGTCTGGTTCATGAATGTATGGTCCTTGCTCATTGACTGTAGCATCAAATGATGTGTGAATGAATCATTATGGTGTAATAACTGCAGATATAATGTTTGTATTGTCAATGTTAAGTTGAGTACAAATGGTTTCTTTTGGAGTTGCTTTCCATAGTCTGCTGAGTCTCACTTGGTAATAAAGTGGTAAGACCAAATAGTGTACATACGTGTGTCATCCAGTCTTTCATTTATTCTCTGGTGTCTTTTGTAGAGATATGTAGTCATAACAGTTGACAATATGTATTCAATATATTGTCGAAGGCTTTCATGGCCGGAATCACTGGGTTGTTGTAGGTTTTTTTGGGCTGTATGGCCATGGTTTAGAGGCATTCTCTCCTGATGTTTCGCCTGCATCTATGGCAAGCATCCTCAGAAAGGAGGAAACCATGAAAATGAACAAAATCTGGCTACCAGTATTAAAAAACTCTAAAATTGCAACAGAACAACAACAGAGAGGAAGCAGGCAGGAACATCTAATTACCTCTCAACAAAGGTTTGCTCCAGGCACAGTCAGCCCATTGTATGCTAATCAAGGTGGTCAGTTGAAACATTCACACCTAGCTCCAGCAGACAAGAGTCCTTTGTCTCACCCTGGTCATTCCACAGATATATAAACCCCTTTTCCTAGCTCCAACAGACCTCACCACCTCTGAGGATGCTTGCCATAGATGGAGGCAAATGTCAGGAGAGAATGGCTCTAGACCATGGCCATACAGCCCGAAAAAACCGACAACAACCTAATATGTATTCAGTTTCATAAGTTTGATTGAAGCATTAATGAGTCCTAGACAGCACATACATTGAGGAGAAATGATGCAGTTTTCTGCTTACTAACATCTGGAAAATAAGTTTCTGTGTCCCTCTGGTAAACTGATCAGATCAAGATACCAAAAGTACAGCTATTCACCTTTGTGTTAATGCATCATATTTTTCTCTGAATATCAAGCAAAAAAGTGGACGCTAGAAACAATATCATACAAAAGCTGACTGGCACAACCTGGGGATCACAACCAGACACAGTGAAGACATCTGCCCTTGCACTATGCTACTCTGCTGCTGAGTACGCATGCCCAGTGTGGAACACATCTCACCATGCCAAAACAGTGGATGTGACTCTTAATTAGACATGCCGCATTATCACAGGGTGTCTGCGCCCCACACCACTGGAGAATTTATACTGTTTAGCCAGTATTGCACCACCTGACATCCGCTGGGAAGTAGCCAATAGTGAAAGGACCAAGGCAGTGACATCTCCAGCTCATCCCCTGTTTGGGTATCAGCCAGCACGTCAATGACTAAAATCAAGAAATAGTTTTCTAAGATTTACAGAGACACTCGATGGGACACCCCAGCAAGCGAGAGTCCAAAAGTGGCAGGATTAAACCCAGAACCTCAATCGGATGATACCAAATGAGAGACCCCCCTGGGCACACAGAAAACTGGGTGACTTGTAAGGCGCTGAACAGACTGCGCTCTGGTACTCTGCTGTCATGCACTTGGTCTGTAGACAGGACGTGTTCTGTATGCCCAATGGGACGCCCGGGGTGCCTCGGATTAGAAGCCCTGTAGATTTCCCTAAACAAAGTCTTTAGAAACTTGGAAAGTTTAACAAAGTTCTTTATTAGTGCTTATGTCTTCAATAAATCAAACAAATATTTCAAGGCTTTGAATCAACTGGTGGCTTTCTTAATCTTGTCCACAAGAGACAGGCAACTATCTTCACGAACTGTTTCTTCTCTATCAGGGAAATCCTTGACCTCTACCTGGGCAATCTGTCTTAGACTCTGCTGGCGTGGGCCCCTACACCCGGTCCAGATTGCGTTATGGTTGCCGCGAGTGGTCCTTACCAAACAGAGTCCTTTTGTAGAGTTCCAAGAGGAAATAAGGTGTTCAATTCCCAGCGAAGGCTGGTTATAAAGCTGTGGGACTGAGTTCCCCCCAGCACAAGCTGTAAAAGATGAAGCTTTCTACAGGTGGAACTGACTCACGTCCTGTATGAAAAGCTTCTCTGTGTGAACTGAACTAGAGGTCCCCTTTTAACCTCCTAAACCCAGAAAAGGCGGTGGAACTAAAGAACCTAATGATGATTGATGGGTCTTACTTACTTAGGCGAATCCCTCATTTTCCGAGGATGATTGTCTTCCAGTATTCTTGTGGGTCTGTATGTGGCTGTGGAGCCCTATTCTTTCTCTGCATCTTCTTCTGCAGTGAGGGCATTGGTTTCCAGGTGGAAGGCAGTCTTGGTTGGGGTTGGCTTGACGCACCTTCCTCTTGGCACGCTTCTCCCTTTCGCCCTCCATTCGTGCCTCTTCAAATTCTGCAGCATTGCTGGTCACAGCTGACCTCCAGCTGGAGCACTCAAGGGCCAGGGCTTCCCAGGTCTCAGTGTCTATACCGGAGTTTTGAAGGTT